AGGCCTTGTTCTTGCAATTTTGCAGACGCTAGGCCTTGTTCTTGCAATTTTGCAGACGCTACGCCCTTGTTCTTGAATGTTTACAGACGCTAGGCCCTTGTTCTTGAATTTTTGCAGATGCTAGGCCCTTGTTCTTGCAATTTGCAGACGCTAGGCCCTTGTTCTTGAAGTTTTGCAGACGCTAGGCCCTTGTTCTTGAATTTTTGCAGACGCTAGGCCCTTGTTCTTGCAATTCTGCAGACGCTAGGCCCTTGTTCTTGAAAATTTTACAGACGCTAGGCCCTTGTTCTTGAAATTTTGCAGACGCTAAGCCCTTGTTCTTGCAATTTTGCAGACGCTAGGCCCTTGTTCTTGCCAATTGCAGACGCTAGGCCCTTGTTCTAGAATTTTTGCAGACGCTAAGCCCTTGTTCTTGCAATTTTGCAGACACTAGGCCCTTGTTCTTGCAATTTTGCAGATGCTACGCCCTTGTTCTTGAATGTTTGCAGATGCTAGGCCCTTTTTCTTGAATTTTTGCAGACGCTAGGCCCCTGTTCTTGCAATTTTGCAGACGCTAGGCCTTGTTCTTGAATTTTTGCAGACGCTAGGCCCTTGTTCTTGAATTTTTGCAGATGCTAGGCCCTTGTTCTAGAATTTTTGCAGACGCTAGGCCCTTGTTCTTGCAGTTTTGCAGACGCTGGGCCCTTGTTCTTGAATTTTTGCAGACGCTAGGCCCTTGTTCTTAAAAATGTGCACTCTCTAGGCCCTTGTTATTGAATTTTTGCAGACGCTAGGCCCTTGTTCTTGATTTTTTTTTGCAGATGTTAGGCCCTGTTCTTGAATTTTTGCAGACGCTAGGCCCTTGTTATTGCAATTTTGCAGACGCTAGGCCTTTGTTCTTGCAATTTTGCAGACGCTAGGCCCTTGTTCTTGAATTTTTGCAGATGCTATGCCCTTGTTTGAATTTGTGCAGCCGCTAGGCCCTTGTTCTTGAATTTTTGCAGAGGCTAGGCCCTTGTTCTTGAATTTTGCAGACGCTAGGCCTTGTTCTTGAATTTTTGCAGGTGCTAGGCCCTTGTTCTTGAATGTTTGCAGACGCTAGGCCCTTGTTCTTGAATTTTTGCAGACGCTAAGCCCTTGTTCTTGCAATTTTGCAGACGCTAGGCCCTTGTTCTTGAATTTTTGCAGACGCTAGGCCCTTGTTCTTGAATTTTTGCAGACGCTAGGCCCTTGTTCTTGCAATTTGTGCAGACGCTAGGCCCTTGTTCTTGCAATTTTGCAGACGCTACGCCCTTGTTCTTGAAGTTTGCAGACGCTAGGCCCTTGTTCTTGAATTTTTGCAGACGCTAGGCCCTTGTTCTTGCAATTTTGCAGACGCTAGGCCCTTGTTCTTGAATTTTGCAGACGCTAGGCCCTTGTTCTTGAATTTTTTGCAGATGCTAGGCCCTTGTTCTAGAATTTTTGCAGACGCTAGGCCCTTGTTCTTGCAATTTTGCATACGCTAGGCCCTTGTTCTTGATTTTTTGCAGACGCTAGGCCCTTGTTCTTGAATTTTTGCAGATGCTAGGCCCTTGTTCTCGAATGTTTGCAGACACTAGGCCCTTGTTCTTGAATTTTTGCAGACGCTAGGCCCTTGTTCTTGCAATTTTGCAGACGCTAGGCCCTTGTTCTTGCAATTTTGCAGACGCTAGGCCTTGTTCTTGAATTTTTGCAGATGCTAGGCCCTTGTTCTTGAATTTTTGCAGACGCTAGGCCCTTGTTCTTGAATTTTTTCAGACGCTAGGCCCTTGTTCTTGCAATTTTGCATACGCTAGGCCCTTGTTCTTGATTTTTTGCAGACGCTAGGCCCTTGTTCTTGATTTTTTGCAGATGCTAGGCCCTTGTTCTTGAATGTTTGCAGACGCTAGGCCCTTGTTCTTGAATTTTTGCAGACGCTAGGCCCTTGTTCTTGCAAATTTGCAGACGCTAGGCCCTTGTTCTTGAATTTTTGCAGACGCTAGGCTCTTGTTCTAGAATTTTTGCAGACGCTAGGCCCTTGTTCTTGCAATTTGTGCAGATGCTAGGCCCTTGTTCTTGCAATTTTGCAGACGCTACGCCCTTGTTCTTGCAATTTTACAGACGCTAGGCCCTTGTTCTTGCAATTTTGCATACGCTAGGCCCTTGTTCTTGCAATTTTGCAGACGCTAGGCCCTTGTTCTTGAATCTTTGCAGACGCTAGGCCCTTGTTCTTGAATTTTGCAGACGCTAGGCCCTTGTTCTTGAATTTTGCAGACGCTAGGCCCTTGTTCTTGAAATTTTGCAGACACTAGGCCCTTGTTCTTGAAATTTTGCAGACGCTAGGCCCTTGTTCTTGAATTTTGCAGACGCTATGCCCTTGTTCTTGCAATTTTGCAGACGCTAGGCCTTTGTTCTTGCAATTTTGCAGACGCTAGGCCTTGTTCTTGCAATTTTGCAGACGCTAGGCCCTTGTTCTTGAATTTTGCAGACGCTAGGCCCTTGTTCTTGAATTTTTGCAGATGCCAGGCCCTGTTCTAGAATTTTTGCAGACGCTAGGCTTTTGTTCTTGCAGTTTGCAGACGCTAGGCCCTTGTTCTTGAATTTTGCAGACGCTAGGCCCTTGTTCTTAAAAATGTGCACTCTCTAGGCCCTTGATCTTGAATTTTTGCAGACGCTAGGCCTCTTCTTGCTTTTTTTTGCAGATGTTAGGCCCTTGTTCTTGAATTTTTGCAGACGCTAGGCCTTGTTATTGCAACTTTGCAGATGCTAGGCCTTTGTTCTTGCAATTTTGCAGACGCTAGGCTCTTGTTCTTGAATTTTTGCAGATGCTATGCCCTTGTTCTTGAATTTGTGCAGACGCTAGGCCCTTGTTCTTGCAATATTGTAGACGCTAGGCCCTTATTCTTGAATTTTTGCAGACGCTAGGCCCTTGTTCTTGAACTTTTGCAGGGCTAGGCCTTGTTCTTGAATATTTGCAGACGCTAGGCCCTTGTTCTTGAATTTTGCAGACGCAAGGCCTTGTTCTTGCAATTTTGCAGACGCTAGGCCCTTGTTCTTGAATTTTTGTAGACGCTAGGCCCTTGTTCTTGAATTTTTGCAGACGCTAGGCCCGTTGTTCTTGCAATTTGTGCAGAGGCTAGGCCCTTGTTCTTGCAATTTTGCAGACGCTACGCCCTTGTTCTTGAATTTTTGCAGACGGTAGGCCCTTGTTCTTGAATTTTTGTAGACGCTAGGCCCTTGTTCTTGCAATTTTGCAGACGCTAGGCCCTTGTTTTTTAATTTTTGCAGACGCTAGGCCCTTGTTCTTGAATTTTGCAGATGCTAGGCCCTTGTTCTAGAATTTTTGCAGACGCTAGGCCCTTGTTCTTGCAATTTTGCATACGCTAGGCCCTTGTTCTTGAATGTTTGCAGACGCTAGGCCCTTGTTCTTGAATTTTGCAGACGCTAGGCCCTTGTTCTTGCAATTTTGCAGACGCTAGGCCCTTGTTCTTGAATTTTGCAGACGCTAGGCCCTTGTTCTTGAATTTTTGCAGATGCTAGGCCCTTGTTCTTGAATTTTGCAGACGCTAGGCCCTTGTTCTTGCAGTTTTGCAGACGCTGGGCCCTTGTTCTTGAATTTTTGCAGACGCTAGGCCCTTGTTCTTAAAAATGTGCACTCTCTAGGCCCTTGTTATTGAATTTTTGCAGACGCTAGGCCCTTGTTCTTGATTTTTTTTGCAGATGTTAGGCCCTTGTTCTTGAATTTTTGCAGACGCTAGGCCCTTGTTATTGCAATTTTGCAGACGCTAGGCCTTTGTTCTTGCAATTTTGCAGACGCTAGGCCCTTGTTCTTGAATTTTTGCAGATGCTATGCCCTTGTTCTTGAATTTGTGCAGACGCTAGGCCCTTGTTCTTGCAATTTTGTAGACGCTAGGCCCTTGTTCTTGAATTTTTGCAGACGCTAGGCCCTTGTTCTTGAATTTTTGCAGGTGCTAGGCCCTTGTTCTTGAATGTTTGCAGACGCTAGGCCCTTGTTCTTGAATTTTTGCAGACGCTAGGCCCTTGTTCTTGCAATTTTGCAGACACTAGGCCCTTGTTCTTGCAATTTTGCAGATGCTACGCCCTTGTTCTTGAATGTTTGCAGATGCTAGGCCCTTTTTCTTGAATTTTTGCAGACGCTAGGCCCTTGTTCTTGCAATTTTGCAGACGCTAGGCCCTTGTTCTTGAATTTTTGCAGACGCTAGGCCCTTGTTCTTGAATTTTGCAGATGCTAGGCCCTTGTTCTAGAATTTTTGCAGACGCTAGGCCCTTGTTCTTGCAGTTTTGCAGACGCTAGGGCCTTGTTCTTGAATTTTTGCAGACGCTAGGCCCTTGTTCTTAAAAATGTGCACTCTCTAGGCCCTTGTTATTGAATTTTTGCAGACGCTAGGCCCTTGTTCTTGATTTTTTTTGCAGATGTTAGGCCCTTGTTCTTGAATTTTTGCAGACGCTAGGCCCTTGTTATTGCAATTTTGCAGACGCTAGGCCTTTGTTCTTGCAATTTTGCAGACGCTAGGCCCTTGTTCTTGAATTTTTGCAGATGCTATGCCCTTGTTCTTGAATTTGTGCAGACGCTAGGCCCTTGTTCTTGCAATTTTGTAGACGCTAGGCCCTTGTTCTTGAATTTTTGCAGACGCTAGGCCCTTGTTCTTGAATTTTTGCAGGTGCTAGGCCCTTGTTTTTGAATTTTTGCAGACGCTAGGCCCTTTTTCTTGAATTTTTGCAGACGCTAGGCCCTTGTTCTTGCAATTTTGCAGACGCTAGGCCCTTGTTCTTGAATTTTTGCAGACGCTAGGCCCTTGTTCTTGAATTTTTGCAGACGCTAGGCCCTTGTTCTTGCAATTTGTGCAGACGCTAGGCCCTTGTTCTTGCAATTTTGCAGACGCTACGCCCTTGTTCTTGAATGTTTGCAGACGCTAGGCCCTTGTTCTTGAATTTTTGCAGACGCTAGGCCCTTGTTCTTGCAATTTTGCAGACGCTAGGCCCTTGTTCTTAAATTTTTGCAGATGCTAGGCCCTTGTTCTTGAATTTTTTCAGACGCTAGGCCCTTGTTCTTGCAATTTTGCATACGCTAGGCCCTTGTTCTTGATTTTTTGCAGACGCTAGGCCCTTGTTCTTGAATTTTTGCAGATGCTAGGCCCTTGTTCTTGAATGTTTGCAGACGCTAGGCCTTGTTCTTGAATTTTTGCAGACGCTAGGCCCTTGTTCTTGAATGTTTGCAGACGCTAGGCCCTTGTTCTTGAATTTTTGCAGACGCTAGGCTCTTGTTCTAGAATTTTTGCAGACGCTAGGCCCTTGTTCTTGCAATTTGTGCAGACGCTAGGCCCTTGTTCTTGCAATTTTGCAGACGCTACGCCCTTGTTCTTGAATGTTTACAGACGCTAGGCCCTTGTTCTTGAATTTTTGCATACGCTAGGCCCTTGTTCTTGCAATTTTGCAGACGCTAGGCCCTTGTTCTTGAATTTTTGCAGACGCTAGGCCCTTGTTCTTGAATTTTTGCAGACGCTAGGCCCTTGTTCTTGCAATTTTGCAGACGCTAGGCCCTTGTTCTTGAAATTTTGCAGACACTAGGCCCTTGTTCTTGAAATTTTGCAGACGCTAGGCCCTTGTTCTTGCAATTTTGCAGACGCTATGCCCTTGTTCTTGCAATTTGCAGACGCTAGGCCCGTGTTCTTGAATTTTTGCAGACGCTAGCCCCTTTCTCCCGCTTTCCATCACCCCGCCCCGTTCTCCCGCTTTCCATCACCCCGCCCCGTTCTCCCGCTTCCATCACCCCGCCCCGTTCTCCCGCTTTCCATCACCCGCCCCATTCTCCCGCTTTCCATCACCCCGCCTCATTCTCCCGCTTTCCATCACCCCGCCCCATTCTCCCTCTTTCCATCACCCCGCCCTATTCTCCCGCTTTCCATCACCTCGCCCCATTCTCCCGCGCTTTCCCTCACCCCGCCCCATTCTCCCGCTTTCCATCACCCCGCCCCATTCTCCCGCTTTCCGTCACCCCGCCCCATTCTCCCACTTTCCATCACCCCGCCCCATTCTCCCTCTTTCCATCACCCCGCTCCATTCTCCCTCTTTCCATCACCCCGCCCCATTCTTCCTCTTTCTATCACCCCACTCCATTCTCCCTCTTTCCATCACCCCGCCCCATTCTCTCGCTTTCCATCACCCCGCCCCATTCTCCCGCATTCCATCACCCCGCCCCATTCTCCCGCTTTCCATCACCCTGCCCCATTCTCCCGCTTTCCATCACCCTGCCCCATTCTCCCTCCTTCCATCACCCCGCCCCATTCTCCAACTTTCCATCACCCCGCCCCCTTCTCCCGCTTTCAATCACCCTGTCCCGTTCTCCCGCTTTCCATCACCCCGCCCCGTTCTCCCGCTTTCCATCACCCCGCCCCGTTCTCCCGCTTTCCATCACCCCGCCCCGTTCTCCCGCTTTCACTCACCCCACCCGTTCTCCCGCTTTCCATCACCCCGCCCCGTTCTCCCGCTTTCCATCACCCCGCCCCGTTCTCCCGCTTTCCATCACCCCGCCCCATTCTCCCTCCTTCCATCACCCCGCCCCATTCTCCCTCCTTCCATCACCCCGCCCTATTCTCCCTCTTTCCATCACCCCGCCCAATTCTCCCGCTTTCCATCACCCCGCCCCATTCTCCCGCTTTCCATCACCCCGCCCCCTTCTCCCGCTTTCTATCACCCCGCCCCATTCTCCCGCTTTCCATCACCCGCCCCATTCTACCGCTTTCCATCACCCCACCCCATTCTCCCGCTTTCCATCACCTCGCCCCATTCTCCCGCTTTCCATCACCCCGCCCCATTCTCCCTCCTTCCATCACCCCGCCTCATTCTCCCGCTTTCCATCACCTTGCCCCATTCTCCCGCTTTCCATCACCCCGCCCCTTTCTCCCGCTTTCCATCACCCCGCCTCATTCTCCCGCTTTCCATCACCCGCCCCATTCTCCCGCTTTCCATCACCCCGCCCCTTTCTCCCGCTTTCCATCACCCCGCCCAATTCTCCCGCTTTCCATCACCCCGCCCCATTCTCCCACTTTCCATCACCCCGCCCCATTTTCCCGCTTTCCATCACCCCGCCCCATTCTCCCGCTTTCCATCACCTCGCCCCATTCTCCCTCTTTCCATCACCCCGCCCCATTCTTCCGCTTTCCATCACCCCGCCCCATTCTCCCACTTTCCATCACCCCGCCCCATTCTCCCTCTTTCTATCACCCCGCCCCATTCTCCCTCTTTCCATCACCCCGCCCCATTCTCCCGCTTTCCATCGCCCCGCCCCATTCTCTCGCTTTCCATCACCCCGCCCCATTCTCCCGCCTTCCATCACCCCGCCCCATTCTCCCACTTTCCATCACCCCGCCCCATTCTCTCGCTTTCCATCACCCCGCCCCATTCTCCCACTTTCCCTCACCCCGCCCCATTCTCCCACTTTCCATCACCCCACCCCATTCTCTCACTTTCATCACCCCGCCCCATTCTCCCGCTTTCCATCACCCCGCTCCATTCTCCCGCTTTCCATCACCCCGCCCCATTCTCCCGCTTTCCATCGCCCCGCCCCATTCTCCCGCTTTCCATCACCCCGCCCCATTCTCCCGCTTTCCATCACCCCGCCCCATTCTCTCGCTTTCCATCACCCCGCCCCATTCTTTCTCCTTCCATCACCCCGCCCCATTCTGCCTCCTTCCATCACCCCGCCCCATTCTGCCGCTTTCCATCACCCCGCCCCATTCTCCCGCTTTCCATCACCCCGCCCCATTACTCCCGCTTTCCATCATCCCGCCGCACTCTCCCGCTTTCCATCACCCCGCCCCATTCTCCCGCTTTCCATCACCCCGCCCCATTCTCCCGCTTTCCATCACCCCTCCCCATTCTCCCGCTTTCCATCACCCCGCCCCATTCTCCCGCTTTCCATCACCCCGCCCCTTTCTCCCGCTTTCCATCACCCCGCCCCATTCTCCCGCTTTCCATCACCCCGCCCCATTCTCCCGCTTTACATCACCCAGCCCCATTCTCCCGCTTTCCATCACCCCGCCCCATTCTCTCGCTTTCCATCCACCCGCCCATTCTGCCTCCTTCCCCACCCCGCCCCATTCTGCCTCCTTCCATCACCCCGCCCCATTCTGCCGCTTTCCATCACCCCGCCCCATTCTCCCGCTTCCATCACCCGCCCATACTCCCGCTTTCCATCACCCCGCCGCACTCTCCCGCTTTCCATCACCCCTCCCCATTCTCCCGCTTTCCATCACCCCACCCCATTCTCCCGCTTTCATCATCCCGCCCCATACTCCCCACTTTCCATCACCCCGCCCCATTCTCCCTCTTTCTATCACCCCGCCCCATTCTCCCTCTTTCCATCACCCCGCCCCCATTCTCCTCTTTTCAATCACCCCGCCCCATTCTCTCGCTTTCCATCAACCCGCCCCATTCTCCCTCCTTCCATCACCCCGCCCCATTCTCCCGCTTTCCATCACCCCGCCCCATTCTCTCGCTTTCCATCACCCCGCCCCATTCTCCCGCTTTCCCTCACCCCGCCCCATTCTCCCGCTTTCATCACCCCGCCCCTTCTCCACTTTCCATCACCCCGCCCCATTCTCCCGCTTTCCATCACCCCTCCCCATTCTCCCGCTTTCCATCACCCCGCCCCATTCTCCCGCTTTCCATCACCCCGCTCCATTCTCCCGCTTTCCATCACCCCGCCCCATTCTCCCGCTTTCCATCACCCCGGCCCATTCTCCCGCTTTCCATCACCCCGCCCCATTCTCCCGCTTTCCATCACCCGCCCCATTCTCCCGCTTTCCATCACCCCACCCCATTCTCTCACTTTTCATCACCCGCCCCATTCTCCCGCTTTCCATCACCCCGCTCCATTCTCCCGCTTTCCATCACCCCGCCCCATTCTCCCGCTTTCCATCGCCCCGCCCCATTCTCCCGCTTTCCATCACCCCGCCCCATTCTCCCGCTTTCCATCACCCCGCCCCATTCTCTCGCTTTCCATCACCCCGCCCCATTCTGCCTCCTTCCATCACCCCGCCCCATTCTGCCTCCTTCCATCACCCCGCCCCATTCTGCCGCTTTCCATCACCCCGCCCCATTCTCCCGCTTTCCCTCACCCCGCCCCATTCTCCCGCTTTCCATCATCCCGCCGCACTCTCCCGCTTTCCATCACCCCGCCCCATTCTCCCGCTTTCCATCACCCCGCCCCATTCTCCCGCTTTCCATTCACCCGTCCCATTCTCCCGCTTTCCATCACCCCGCCCCATTCTCCCGCTTTCCATCACCCCGCCCCTTTCTCCCGCTTTCCATCACCCGCCCCATTCTCCCGCTTTCCATCACCCGCCCCATTCTCCCGCTTTACATCACCCAGCCCCATTCTCCCGCTTTCCATCACCCCGCCCCATTCTCTCGCTTTCATCACCCGCCCCATTCTGCCTCCTTCCATCACCCCGCCCCATTCTGCCTCCTTCCATCACCCCGCCTCATTCTCCCGCTTTCCATCACCCCACCCCATTCTCCCGCTTTCCATCACCCCGCCCCAT